AGCCTATCTAAAACACGCGTAATGTCCGCTACCTTTGCACCAGGCAGGCAAGTCACCATACGGTCAGTACGCGGGTTCGCCACCCAGCTGTCTACCTGCCTAAGGATCGAATCACCCACTACCAAGAGCCCCCCTCCCACCCTGCCCAGGGATGGTTCCTTGGTGCAAAAGGATAACCGCTCACCAGCTGGGGAAGAGGTCCCTTCTGAGGGCACATTCCCCTTATCCTCAGCACGGTGCCCTGTTTCCCCTAGACCCTCATGCTCCCTGACAGCAGCGGGGCTGCCAGATCCAGAGTGGGACGTAGCTAACAAGTCCCCGAGAGTCTTTTCTGTGCGCCTAGCTGACTGTCTCTGCTTCTCCAGGTCAGCCACCTTGGCCTCAAGGGAGCACACACGTTCCCTGAGAACCAGGAGCTCCTTGCACCGAGCACACACCCAAGACTTCTGCCCAGTGGGCAGATAGTCATACATGTGACACTCTGTGCAAAACACTGGATAGCCCCCAACCCCCTGCTGGCATTCTGGCTTCATAATTCTTTTAAAATAAGTAAATGTAAGCCCCCTTTTAAATCCCTTTGTATTTATATGTTTTTCTTGTCAAAGTCAAATTACTTTATGGGGAAAAAGAGCCTAGGGTTTTCACTTTCTGCCTCTTCTTGGGCGTCTCACAGAGCCCCTGCAGCCTCTACCTAGGAAGAGAAGAAGAAGAGATTGGATTTATAGCCCGCCCTTCACTACCCAAAGGTCTCAGAGCGGCTTACAAACTCCTTTCCCTTCCCCTCCCCACAACAGACACCCTGTGAGGTAGGTGGGGCTGAGAGAACTCTTGACAGAAACTGCTCTTTTTCAAGAACAGCTGTGCCAGAGTTATGGCTTGCCGAAGGTCATCCAGCCAGGTGCAAGTGGAGGAGTGGGGAATCAAACCCGGTTTTCCCAGATTAAAGTCTGCGCACTTAACCACTACACCAAACTGGAAAAGTACAGTCTTTCTCTGCAGTGGGGACCAAAGCAGCTCACATCATTCTCCTCTCCCCCTTTTGATCTGCACAACAACCCGGTGAGGTAGGTTAGGCTGAAACTCTGTGAGTGGTTTGAAATCACCCAATCAGCTTCCACACGAGGAACTTGGATCTGGAAGACCCTGCCCTGAAGCACTAACTGCTATATCACACTGGTTGTCATGGGGGAGGCACCTCAGCAGGGTATAATGACACAGAGTCCACCATTTTCTCTAGAGAAACTGATCTCTGCCATCTGAAGAGCAGTTGTAATTCTGAGTTATCTTCAGCCCTTACCTGGAGATTGGCAACAATGGTTCCACAGGAGAAAATGGCTGGTTTGGAGGGTGGAGTCTATGGCATTGTAGCTGTCAGAGGTTCCACCCCTCCTCAAATGCCACCCTCTCCAGGCTCCACCCCTCAGATCTCCAGGAATTTCCCAACCTGGAGTTCGCAACGCTATCTCCTTCCCATTCAACCATCAACCTATCTTTATCTGCCCCTCTGACTTTAGCTTTCCATCTCCCCCCCACTACCTGGAGCATCTACCTAGGAAAGGTACAGTCTTTCTCCTCCTCAGTGGGAGGGGGACCCAAGCAGGAGGGAAATGACATCAGCAAGGTATAATGACACAGAGTCCACCCTGCAAAGCAGCCATTTTCTCCAGGAGAACTGATCTCTGCCATCTGGAGAGCAGTTGTAATTTTGAGTGATCTCCAGCCCTCACCTGGAGAATGGCAGCAATGGTTCCCCAGGAGGGAATGGCTGGTTTGGAGGGTGGAGTCTATGGCATTCTATGCAGCTGAAGCCTCTCCCCTCCCCAAACCCTGGCTTCCGTAGACTCCACCACAAAATCTCCAGGAATTTCCCAACCTGGAGCTGGCAATGAGTTCCCCACAAAGGCCTGGAAAGGGCCTCATGGCTTTGCCTTTTTACTTGCCAACAGACCAAAAACCACTGTGGTAAAATTAACAGTGACACATTTAATAATTCTTTGAGCATCAATTTGTGAAGCTATTAATCTTACAATATGGTAATAGAATTCAGGCATAGGCAAAGCAAAGTCCAACATAATCATATCCTCGATGAGCACACCGGTTTTTACACTAATTTCACCAATCATTCTCATGAGTAAGAAGTCTTATAAAGTTGGAAGATGTCAACCTCTTGATTCAGCTTAGTTTCTTTTTAAAAATAGTATAGCTTCTTATTTGTTTTCTTCTTAGTCAAATTCTCCTGAAAAAAAGAATAGTTATAAGGAGTGGAGAAAGAGATGAAGCTGAATGGAATATTTTTGTTATGATTTTTAACTAGAGTAGTTGTTAGACTTACTTTCAGTTCCATTGCAAGTACTAGAATATGCTGGGCCCTCATCTTCCTCTGGGTCCAACGGCAGCGTCCGTCAGCTGGTCAATATGGCGGTGAAGAACCTGCCCATCCTCGCTGGACGTGAACGCAGTCCTGTTGTCAGTGACTAAGGTGTCAGGGATGCCCTGTGTACTGAAAATCCACCACATAGCCTGGATCGCTGCTTTAGAGGAGGTGGAGGGCATGGGGACTACCTCCAGCCACTTGCTGTAGGCATCCACCAGGATGAAAAAGAGTTGCCCTTGCAATGGTCCCGCAAAGTCCAAGTGCAACCTTGACCAGGGATGGTGGCAGGATTCCCAGGCTCGTTCCGGGGCCCGGGGTGGCTCCGGTTGGGAAGCTTGGCAAGGCTGGCACCGCTTTACTACTTCCTCTACATCCCGGTCCAGCCCCGGCCACCAGAAGTAACTTCTGGCCAGAGCTTTCATGCGCAACGCCCCAGGATGTGACTCATGAAGGGTGGTGAGTTCTTTCTTTGTCTGTACAGATACAGATGGGTCGACATCTTCAGGCACTGTCATTTGGAGCGGCAGACCCGGGAGATGTGCCACGATTTGTTGCACGTCCGGAAGACGGCATTCCGGAAATGGCACGACCAGCGTTCGTGCTCTTCCCCACAGCTGGCACACGCAGGCAAGGTAGACACTGACGCTTTGGATGATACAGAACCTGCTGCACGATGGGAACGTCTGGTGGTGGACATGCAGAACCTTGTCTTCAGAGACGTCGGACCCAACGGTCCCTGGCGTGTGGTGGACTGCCTTGGTGCGGCGGTCGTGGTGAGACTTCTCGTGTGCGGTGGCCTCCCGGAGCACTTTGTAGAGATCCAAGTCGTCTTGGCCGACCAGCTTCCTTCAGAGTTTGGCCTCCCGTAGGCCCAGGAGGAACTGATTGAGGAGAGTGTCAGCCAAATCCAGGAATGAACACCTCGTGGTGGCCCGCCGCAGGGCTGCTAGGAAGTCGGAGGTGGTCTCGTTGGGACCCTGGACTCGTGTAAAAAAGTCCATCCGCTCCGCAAACTTCGTAGGTTTGGGCACCAGGTAGTCCGAGAGTGCCTTGACCAAAGTGGTATACGTCTCATCTTTGGTCAGCCAGGGCGCTATCAGGTCTTTCAGTAAGAGAGGCGCCTCCATACCACAGTGCCAGAGGAGATACGCCTTCTTCTTTCCCAGATTCGTAACATCATAGATGGTGAGGTGGCTCTCAAGGGTTTCCAGCCAGGTCTTCCATTGTGAGTGTTGCGAGATGTCGAAAGCAGGGAGGCTCTCGGATGCGGCAGCCATCTTACGATTCCACGTGCAAGTGGTGTCTCGGGATCGGTGGCAGCGGTCGGCAGGGCGAGGAGCAGTGCAGGGCTGCACACTGGGTCAGTGGTTCGATGCTCGGTGCTGGGAGCGGTGTGGTGAGCGTCAACCAGAGATGTTGGGTATGAGGCAGGGCGACGTGCGATTATCTCGGCACTAGGGCTCCATGCGATGCTCGGTTCTTGGTCTCTGTTCATGGGAGGATGAATCCCACCTTCCTCGCCAGTGAAAAGTACTGAGACTGAGAGTGATTTCAGCTCACATACTTTTATTAGTGCAGAACAACTTTAGCCAGCTCGCAGGCTGGCTTATATTCCGTGAAAACCACCCCCCAAAACACACACCCCCACACCGTAAAAGGCTATTTACAGAGGCCGAGGGTTCTATAGGTTCTCTGCCAGGAGCCTAGCCCTCGGATTGGTGCAGGCTAGGATCCAATTCCTCCATTGTTCGTTGGAGCGAAGCTCAGAGGTTTAGCAGGCCGTGTGGAGCCCCCCTCTGCCACAGGACTGGATACATTACAGTTTTAATCCAGTGGCACCTTTAAGACCAACAAAGGTCAATTCTGGTTTTGTTGGTCTTAAAGGTGCCACTGGCATCAAACTTTGTTCTATTGCTTCAGACCAACATGGCTACCCACCTGAATCTATTTTGTTGTTAACATTCTAACAGCCAGCCTGAAGAGTTCTGGAGCGCTCCAAAGGTTTGCGTGTAATTTTTTGGCTTAAACAGGAAGCGCCACGCAACTTTTACCACCCTAGGCATACTTCTTAAAATAAAACTGAAGCTCAGTCCCTTCTCAAAAGGGTTTGCAACCCTACAGTGATGTGTCTATATTTTGCCAGAACTTTATTACCTTCCCCCCACACCGGTAACACAGAGTAACCCTTTATCGATCACTAAGCCCCACAGCCTCCCAGGCCTCTGAGATGAGCCGGGAAGGAAAGCTGCAAGCAGGCGATGGCTTCCGTCACCCTCCTTTCAGAGACTCTGCCGGTATTTCGCGCCTTTCTCAAAGAAGGCTTCTTGACAAAAGCGGAAGGAGGAGAAAGCGGGGGAAAGAGGCGGAGAGTCCTTGTTTATGGGGCGGGCTGATGCCTTCGCCGCGCGGCCTTGCCCAACCCCCGGAAGTCTTCACCGTCTCCACGGGCGAGGCGGAGCTGCGTTGCCGCAGGCGCCTTTTTCTTTCCCAGGCAATAGGGTGGTAGGTAGAGGCTGTGCACTTTCTGAAGGGAAGCGGCGAGGCGGTAAGCGAGTCTGTCCGGAACTAGCTCTCGCCTGGCCCGCCTCTCTCTCTCCTGTTTCTTCTTGCCTCTGCTGCCCGCCGGCCATGCGGCGGGTAGCCGAGACTCTCGTCCTCCTCCGGTTTAGCTTGAGGGGCACGAGGAGGAGTGCCTGACTGACGGCTTGACTGCTACTTCATGTGGCGTTGCCGGTGAGGGAAGCAGGCAGGCGGCTTTTGCCGGCGCGAGGTGGACAGCCAAGGGGCGCGGGGAGGGCGGGGGGTGTCTTAAGAAACGGAAAACAGAGCCCAGAAAAAGATGTTGCTCTCGCTGGTGCTGCACACCTACTCCATGCGCTACGTGCTGCCCGCCGCTGTGATGATGGGCACCGCCCCCACCTACATGCTGGCCTGGGGAGCCTGGCGCCTGCTTTCCGCCGTGCTGCCCGCCCGCTTCTATCACCAGGTGGACGACCGGCTGTACACCATCTACCAGAGCATGGTGCTCTTCTTCTTCGAGAACTACACCGGCATACAGGTGACTGACTGACTGAGAGACTCAAACACTATTCCCGTCCCGTCCCCTCCCCAGTCGTGAAGAATGAGGCCATGCCTTTGGGGAGAGAGAGAGAAAAAATTGGTGTTTTCTGGTGTCCAAGGGACAATGCACATTTTTTGGTGTGTTTTTTGTTACACCTTTGGCACTGGGCTCAGTGGTCTCTCCTTAACAGGTTCTGATTTCTTGGGCACAAATGCACACACCCTGAATATGTTGATGTGCTGTATGCGCATGTAGATTGGGGGGGGGGTCTTAAAAAGCAGGTGTGGAAGCTGGAAGGGGTCATGCTGCTTTCAAAAAAATGTGCACATTGTTATATATATGTGACCTTCACACTTGGCAGAACATATTGTAACTGAATATGCACACCTGAGTACAAGTGAGAACTGGCCTTCTGCTTGGGGGAGAGATGCTGAAGGTGTTCTGTGTCTGGATGCTGGCACTTTACATGTGCTGCTTGTGTTCATGTTAATGTGAAATGGGAAGGGCAATGTCTTAGAAGTGAGTGTATGTTCTAGCTGGGTTTACATCTGAATTACAGGTATGGAACAGGGGGAAATGGAATAAATGAAAACAGCCTGCTGTAGCGGCCAGTTTAAAGTACTACTTATGCTCAAGCTTGCTCAAAAAGAAACTAGGCACTCCAAACAGGAAGCCCTGCCCCAGTCCCCCATGTCTGGAGGTGGGAGGAAAATGCAGCACGTGCTCAAAACGCATGTATTTGGCATGGATGTTGTACCCCACATAAAAATCCCTCCTCTTCTGTGACAGTCAGCAGTCTTTGGTAAGACGTTTGTTAAGTCATCCTATATCAGACTATGAAGATTTCTTTTAAAAGGGACCATAAGCAACCTTAAGCACTTGCTGATTTAATCTGTTGAGTTTAGTTTTCACTTTATCAAATGTGGGGGGGGGGGTTTGGGCATTCCACATATTCAGCAATGTTTGGTGGTCGAACTTGGAAACTCTCCTAAGGAACAACTCTGGATGACCTAAAGATTTTACCATATTACCTTTACAACAACAGGTGAGGTAGATAAGGCTAAGAGATCGAGATACTGCCCCAGGGTCATCCAGAAATCTTTATTGTGCTGTGGATTTTGAACGTGGACCTCCCAGAATGTACCTCAACATTTACCTACTACTCTAAGATAATCTTGAAGACTAGTCATACCTAGAAAATTGTCATACCTAGAAAATTAGTGTGTAACTAATGACGGTTATTTACACCAAGGATCCTGTGTAGTGCCCAGGGTGCTGTGGTACCTGACAACACCTTTTCTGGTGGCCAAAAAGTGCTTTTAGAAAGTGGGCTTGGCCAGGTGAGACTTCTGCCCAGGAAGGGTTCTGATTGGCCACTGGAAATTTGATTGGCTGTACAGATTTTTAGAAGTGCTGCTTTGGCAGCTGCTGCCACCACAACACAAGGATCTTCACTGTGTGACTGAGAGTAAGCTGGGGTAGCTGTTTTGTGGCTGGCTCCACTTCCTGACACATCGGGTGCGTTCAGACGGGGCATTTACAATGGTATAGGTGCCGGTTGGAATCGGTGTACTTACAGGCGTTCACTCGGCAAACATCTGCCTTCTGTCCCTAACCGTTGTAAAGAGCTTTACACCATTGTATTCTGCCACTAGGTCCCCAAGTGGTGGTATCCTGAGTACAATGGTTGTAATCGCTTTACCCCCATCTGATCGCTCTCCAACGTTGTAGAGCCAGTTCCGTTCGGAAGCCCAAGGCTTCCGATTTTCGCCCACCTTTTTTTTTTTTAGGTCGGCGATATACGCTTGGGCAAAGCTTCGCCCTGGCGTTTGTTTTTAAAAAAAGAAAAGGTCCTTAGTTTAACGTTTTGGAGGAGTCCGGGACCTCAGGGAGGCCAGTTTGGTCTTTAAACTTTAAAGGTAAGTCCTTACCTTTAAACTTTAAATGTAAGACGGGGTGTTTTGTGCATGCGTGAAGATCACCATTCTGTGGATGGCTGCCTATGCGCATGCGCAAACTGAGTTAAAAAACAACAACCGCTGACGCCCGCTGCATGTGAACGGGCATACAGCGATGGGCTCCGCAGACAGGAGGTAAGTGTGATCACGTTTCAGCCGGCATAAACTGCACCGGTTGGAACCGGTACAGTTCATGCCGGCTGAAACGCCCCGTCTGAACGCACCCATCCTGTGTCAGAATTCCAAAGGTGCCCTCAGGCTCAAAAGGATTGGGGACCCCTGATTTACACACTTTCACATGAAGTGTTAAAAAGCATGAAAAAGAGTATTGCAAAACTTGAAAAGGTGCAGAAAAGAGCAACCAAAATGATAAAGGGGCTGGAGCAACTGCCCTATCAGTTAAAATGCTTACGGCTGTTTAGCTTAGAAAAAAGGTGAGCAAGTGGGCACATGATGGAGGTCTATGAAATTATGCAGGAAGGGGAAAGAGGGGACAGGAAGAAGCTTTTCTCATCTAATAATACTAGAAACTGGGGTCATCCACTGAAGCCAAAGGGTGGGAGATTTAGGACAAACAAAAGGACTTGCTTCTTCTCACAGCACATAGTTAAATTGTGGAATTTGTTGTAGTGATGGCTACCAACCTGGGATGTGTTAAAAGGGGAGTGGACAAAATCAGTGGCTATTAGCCACAAGATGTAGAAGGGGCCACCGTGGCTCAAAGTTTAAAATGCTGAGTTGCAGACTGGAAGGGTCTGTAGCTCGGCTGTTTGAGATCCCAGTGCCCTGTGACAGAGTGAGCTCCTGTCTCTGGTCCCAGCTCCTGCCAACCTAGCAGTTCGAAAACAAGAAAATGCAAGTTGATAAATAGGTACCGCTTCGGTGGGACAGTAACAGCGTTCCGTGTGCGTCAGCATTTAGTCATGCCAGCCACATGACCACAGAAACGTCTTCAGATAGCGCTGGCACTTCGGCTTGGAAATGGAGATTAGCACCGCCCCCTGGAGTCGGATTCGACTGGCTTTCGAGCAAGGGAAACTTTTACCTTTATGGATAGGAACTCTCAGTTTAGAGCAAGTGATGCTCTGTATTCTTACTGCTTGGAGGTGGGGGGGGCAACAGTGGGAGGGCTTCTAGTGTCCTGGCCCCACTGCTGGACCTCCTGATGGCACCTAGTATTTTTGGCCACTGTGACGGTGTTGGACTGGATGGGCCATTGGCCTGATCCAACATTGGCTTCTCTTATGTTCATGGAGGACAGGGCTATCAGTGGCTCCTAGTCATGATGGATATCTGCTCCCTCCAGTACTAGAGGAAGTATGCATTTGTATATATCAAGCTGCTGGGGAGCAGAGGTGGGAGGATGTTGTTGTACTCATCCTGCTTGTGGGCTTGTTAGAAGCAACTGGTCAGCCACTGTGAACAGAATGCTGGATTATGTGGGCCCTTGGTCTGATCCAGTGTGGCTCTTATGTTCTTAGTGGCTTTCCTCAGTCTTCTAATACATTTTTATTCTGCCCTTTCTGTAAGGAGCTCAGGGCAGCATGGGTGGGTTTTTCCCCCTTCCATACATGAGGCTACCTTATATTGAATCAGACCCTTGGTCCATTAAAGTCAGTATTGTCTACTCAGACTTTACAGCAGCTCCCCAGGTCTGAGGCAGAAGTCTTTCACATCAGCTGCTACCTTGATCCTTTCAACTGGAGATGCTGGGGAGTAAACTGGGACCTTCAGCATGCAAAGCAGAGCCTCTTCCCCCGAGCCACAGCTTTTCCACACAGGTAGGTTAGGCTGAAGACAGTGATTGGCCCAGAATTATCCAATGAGCTGTTGTGGCCAAGTGGGGATTTGAACCAAGGTTTCCAGATCATAGTGTAAAGCTAACTATACCAGTGGTCTTTAACCAATAGGATAGACCCTCAGGTGGGTTGCAGAATCCAACCTCCTGAGTCACGAGCCTCTTATTCTTATTTCAACTGTGATCGTGATCAGTAGTTGTGTGAGTGTTAATACCTGGTAATGGTAAATAAGGGCAACACAGATTTGGACCCAGTTTGAGTAGAGGGTGCAGTCCTTTTTCAAGGCTGTTTTCATCAGCTCTTCAACATGCCACTTGTGACACTTTTGCACACCATTCCCCAATGTGGCATCCTGCTGCATGTTTCAGGAAAGTCAGGAAGCCTCTTGCTCTGAGGGCTTGTGGTTGGCAGGTGGTTCCCACCTTGAAAGATCTGCCGGCAGAGGAATGGGTAAGTTGTGAGTCTCCTTATGGTGCAGGACTCGTGCCAGGGTTGTTAATAAATGTGACTGTTTTGGTTGATGGTAACTGTGAATGTGGCTCTTTACAAACTGTGGACTACCATTGCTCTAGTTCATGTGTACAAAATTCTCTACTAGCTAAGTATATGCAGTTGGTATAGCTGAATATAGTTTAGTCACTACTCACCACTCTTTAACCACCTTTATGTTCACCATCAGGTTTGTGTAAGGTCAGTTTAATAACTTTTCAAATGTACAAAAGGTGTAGGCGATTGTGTTTGGATCTCACCTAGATTTTTGCAGGCACAAGGGGTGTGTGATTTTTGCCGATCCCCCCCCCCCCCCCGGGGGGATGGGAGACTTCAGATTCCTCCCAAGCTATTTCTGGGGATTCCCCATCCCCTGGAGCAGCATTTCTGAAAGTGATTTAGGTTGCCACTTGAGGGAGAAATCAATGAAAATTATTCCCAGCCCACAGAAATCTCTAATGAGTCCAAACCAAATCTGCAAGATTCCCATAACTTCCACACTACCTCATTCAGCAATACTATTGTAAGATCAATTAATTTATACTCTGTAGGAATAATCTTACTTTTGTGTTGGGCTTTATTGGGGTCCCTCTCCTGTCCAGAAAATATTGTAAAGCCATGCTAGCTTTATATTAATCTTGTTTGCTGATAAATAAAATAAATGACTGTTTTTTAGTATTCATGCTCTTCAGATATGTCTATTTGGAAGCAAGTTCTTTTGAAATCACTGAGACTTGTAGGCAAGTAAATGTAGATCAGCCGTAAGGTCTAGTACTGTTAACAGTAAGCAGATGTTCCACATCTTCTTCACCCAGGCACAAAACAGATGTCTTGTGGTTCCTGTATTTGAGCAGGCCTGAATGAAACTAGAGACCTTGAGGTCAAAGGCTTCTGCATCCTGTTATCCTGTGGAGTTCTGTACTTCCAAGTGTTTTTTTCATGCCCTTCCCCTCATTTATGAATTAAATCCATTTTTTTTTGCCCCCTGGAGAGGATTTTTATTGCATTTTCTATAAACTTCAAACTACAATGAAAAAATAGGGAGGGAACATCTACATCTAAGGAGAAAGGAAAGAAAACCACTACTAACTAAAACCCCAAGTATAGGAGATCATTACATCAGCTTATATAAGTGTTAGTCTAAAATGCTTACATTACATTGAACATAGTCAATTAAGCTAAAATATTTATCTTTTTAACCATTTTTAACTGTTTAAAGACAACCCCCAAGAGCATCATTTATATCACATGCTTTAAGGAACCATTTAGAGTCCTTCAGCCTTCACTTTGTTTTACCTTTTCTAATCCTCAATTGGTATTCTCGTTTAGGGGCAGCCACCCCCTTTTCTGAAGCAGAATCCTCGTCAGAAGGCACAGAGTCCAGTTCACCGCTAGATTTACTGTCATCTTTTTCTTTAGCATCCTCAGCTGGTTCTCCCAGTTGCAATCTCAGGAACCCGTGCACTTTGGAAACAGAGTCAATTTTTTCTTTTTTGTCCTGCAGTTTGAAAATGACACCTTCAGGGGTTAACCATCTGTAGGAAATGCTGTTTGTTTGTAGAAAAAAAAGGATTAAGTCTTTGTACGTCTTCCTCTTCTTCCTTATTTCAAATGGGATTTTTAAAATCCTGATGGTGTTGCCTCCAATTTTCAGGGGTGTTCCTGTAGTTGCAGTTGTAAAAGTTGAGATTCATCCGAAGCTTGCTTCCTTTCCAGCATTTGCACCTTTTTCTTGACTTTTTTAGAGTTGGCATCTATTTCCTTTACTTTCTCAGCTGTTTGCTCCGGCTTTTTTGTAGTTTCAGACAGTTGGAGCTGCTGAGTTGCAAAGTTCTGATTTAGAGTTGTCAGCTGCTGATTGATGTTAGTCATCTGGTCCAGTAGAGGGCGCAAAGAGTCCGCCAAAAGTTTAGAGAACTCAGTGGTCTCTTCCGGTCGTGGGCTCATGCTCCCTGGTGGTTTCACTTTTGGCTGTTTGTCTCCGCTTTTTTCCACGCCATTTTTATGGATTGTTTACTATTGTCAAAACTTGCTAAAGTCTCTGAAATTCGCCCAACGCCTATCCGCACTCTGGTAAGGTTCTTAAAACAGATTTCAACGCTTTTAATTCCGCCCCCCCCCTTGCTAAATCGCTTTTTAGTTCATGCGTATGGGATGGGCCCCTCCCCCGCTCACTTTTCTCGCCGTTCTTGGGGGGGACTTTCTTTTTAAGTTGCCGGTATTTCGCTTTTACTCAACTCACTGTTTGTTGTTGGTCATAAAACCTCGCTCAAAATGCGTTTTAAACGCTCGATCTCCAACTCTTGTCCCGGTCAGCAGTTCTAGTTCCATTCGGACGCATAGTGGCAGGACCGTCGGGGCGGAAGAGCACCTCAATTCCACAGCATTGCGCTGGTGAAGAGGCCACCCTTCGAAAGGCCCATGGCTAGGAGCCCTTCACAAAGGGGGGGTAGCGAACAATCGCCCTCCCTCCTAATCGCTGGCGTGCAGATCGCACCCCCGGGAGATGTGTCTGCCAGCGTGTCGCCATAAACTGGAAGTCCAAATTAAATCCATTTTTCAGTCTTTTAAAAACTGGTGTTGAAACACAGTATCTTATAGAAAACCAAAAATATTTTGTGTAAATTTGGATAGGCTACGTTTTTTAATGTAATTTTTGCTAATTATACATGTATGTATTTCTCCCATATGGGCTAGTAAATGATGTAAATAAGGAAGACTATTGCAAGTGGTTCTTAAATTAAAAAATGACTTGAAAGTTAAGTTTTTGGTCAGCACAATACACTTCACTGGGAAGAAAGGAAGTTTTTAAAGGAACATAGTGGTTATTTTTTTTCTACAAGAGGGTGTAACTATTTATATGATCAGCTATTTTCTTTTTAAAGTATTTCTTTAGAATAGTCAAGCTTAGCTGTTTATCCCTTAGTTATGTAGGCAGAGGTGAACCCTTATTATACATGGCCATAGTGGCTTCAGTGAAGTATCATGTGGTGTCAAGGGCATCAAAAATGGACCAAAGAGAGGAAGAATGGTAATACTACTTCTATTTTTATCTAGATTTGCACTGAAGTGCAAATTAAATTTTCAGTCTTGAGAATTTGTTTCATTAAATTGTTGATCCCTAGTTTTAAATGTATTATTTAATTCCTCTCTGAATAAATGTGCTAATGAAGTACCTTTTCCCTCCTAGATAATTTTCTATGGTGATTTGCCAAAAACAAAAGAAAATGTAGTATATATATCGAATCATCAGTGTACAGGTAAGTATATTCCCTCCTCAACTAGAAGAAATTTTCAGTAGAAAATATGAATGTACATAGTTAAATACCCCATATTTAACTTGAAACCCAGATCTGTATGGTATTAAGAAGAAGAAAACGAATGGATTTATACTCCGCCCTTCACTTGGAGTCTCAGAGCGGCTTCCAAACTCCTTTCCCTTCTCCTCCGCACAACAGACACCCTGTGAGGTAGGTGGGACTGAGAGAGCTCTGACAGAAACTGCTCTTTTTCAAGAACAGCTGTGCCAGAACTATGGCTTGCCCAAGGTCATCCAGCCAGGTGCAAGTGGAGGAGTGGGGAATCAAACCTGGTTCTCCCAGATTAGAGTCCACACACTTAACCACTACACCAAACTGGCTCAATGTGTATATTATTCACTTCAACCCCAAAGAGTAAATTACCTGTATGATGAGGCTTCAGAGTTTGTCTGCAAAAGTGTCCCTGCTTGCTGCTGGACAAGCTGCCTCAAAACCTAAGGGGGGGGGGGACTAGGAACAAATTTTGAAGAAAGTCATTTTGTTAGAGGTAGCAAAAATAAGAATCCCTGCTGTGCATGTATAAGCCATTGCCTTTACCTAAATATCTTTATAGATCAGGGCCCAGGTTCTCTGTTTATTAAGAAGCCTTTCATGTTTCTTATTACTCATTGAAATTGAGGTTACTAATTGCTTAGTTTTGAGTTTGGTTTACTGGTTTGCATCAATCAGAGGACTTCTGGGGATCTTTGTAAGTGCAGAATAATATCTTGTAATAACTTGAGGTTTAGGGTTCCATAATAAAGGTGATCTATTACAGCAAAATGTGTTGTGATTAAGTCTGATTCTTTAAGGAGTTGGTACAGGAGTTAGTGTCACATTAGGACTGGGGAACTGAGTTCAAATTCCCACACAGTCATGAGGCTTGCTGAATCACAGCTCCATTCTTCTCTCTCCTATGTACCTCACAGGGTTGCTAAAATAAAATTCGGAGGGGAGTGCCATGCATAGGGATGGGTACAAACCAAATTACAAACCAATGCTCCCCACAAACCAACCAGGTGGGTTCGTGTTGGCAGACCTGCTGGTGCCAGTGCCATGACTTGGAGAAGGTATTTAAAGAGACCATTTAAAGAGACCTCAGGAGGTGGTGGATGCTCCTTCGCTGGTCTCTTTAAATGCCTTCTCCAGGCCGCTTGCAAAAATCTTTAAAGGGATTCCTTTAAATGGTTTTTGGAAGCTGTGTCACTGCAGTCATGGCAGCGCAACTCACAAGTGAACAGAGAAGACCTTTAAATGTGTTCCCAGTTGGAGGCCATTTCATCAATCCCTTTCAGTCCCCCCGACCTGGAAGAGAAAATCAGTTGACTCACTGAGTTGTGCTACCACCATGGCACAACTCAGTGTGTGAACTGGGAAGGCATTAAGTAGGGGGGAGAGAAAGGCATTGCTGAAATGCTGAAATGGCTTGCAAAACCATTTAAAGGGAACATTCCCTTTAAATGGCTTTTGCAAGAACCCCCCCTCCTTCCATTTACTAGCCTCAGGGAGCCACTGCCAGCAGAAAGGAGAAAGGGAAGATCCACAAACTGAATTGGTTTGCAAAGTGGGGGAGGTTTGTGCCAGTTTGTGAGACCTCACGAATCACGACAAACCTCCATTTTCCGGGTTCGTGCCCATCCCTAGCCATGTATATTGCTCTGATATCTTTGTATGAAGAACAGGATACAAATGTAATATGCTTGTTATATGGATAGAAGAGATCAACACAGGATTGAGTGTTGAACTATGTTGTAGACCGTACCTGATCATAACATTAAAAAAAAAAAAAGGAATTGTGGAAAATTCACTAATGTGTTCACTATTATCATCTTTACAGAGTAATGCTATGCAGAGGTACTCCAGTCTAAGCCCATTAAAGTCAGTGGATTTATGCTGGAGTAACTCTGTATAGGATTGTACTTTTAATCCAGTTGTAAAAACAGGTTGCTTTGCATTGCTAATATGTTTACAACTAGTACGAGACTTCCCTTTGAAAATAATGTAAGGTTATTAGCTTGTACTTTAAAAATGTTTTGCAAGTATTTTAATGTTAGGTTATATGCATAAACATTTGTGTTTTGTCTTTGCAGTTGACTGGATTATAGCAGACATGTTGGCCATCAGGCAGAATGCTCTTGGACATGTTCGATATGTTTTGAAGGATGGGTTAAAATGGCTTCCTTTGTACGGGTGGTATTTTTATCAGGTAAATTGTTAACCTATTCCCATGTTGCATTACGTAACTGCCTTTTACTGCACATTTTTACTTTAGTTCTTAATAGTCACCTGGGAGTAAATCCCAGTGATGTCTGTGAAACTAGTTTATAAGTAGGTTGCAGCTGTACAGTCAATTTTCCTGACAGTGAGAGTGTGTGTATCACATTGCTCAAGTACTAGTAAGAGAGTCTTCTGACTGTCTTTGTATTAGCTGGCCAGATCCGTAGTTTTGTAGTTCTTTATCCTTGAGGATAAGCTGGTTAAATGTGGGCTGGATGGTGCAACCTTTGGATGGATTCATGGTTGGTTGAAAAATCGTACCCAATGAGTGCTCGTAAATGGCTCTGCGTCTATGTGGAGGGAAGTCTCGAATGGAGTGCCGCAGGGCTCAGGTCCTGGGCCCGGTGTTGTTCAGTGTTTTTATAAATGACCTGGAGGAAGACATAGAGGGGATGATTATCAAATTTGCAGATGACACGAAGCTGGGTGGGATTGCTAATTCTGAAGAAGACAGAGTCAGGATTTAAAATGATCTAGATAGGCTGGAACAGTGGACTGAGACAAATAAAATGAATTTCAATAGAGAGAAGTGCAAAGTCCTACACTTAGGTACAAAAAATCAAAGGCACAGATATAGAATGGGAGGGACTTGGCTTGACAGCCACACATATGAAATGGATCTAGGTGTTCTGATTGATCACAAGCTAAACATGAGCCTGCAGTGTGATATGACTGCGAAGAAAGCGAATGCGATCTTAGGATGCATTAACAGAAGCATTGTGTCCAGATCATGGGAGGTGGTAGTTCCGCTGTATTCTGCTATAGTCAGGCCTCACCTGGAGTACTGTGTCCAGTTTTGGGTACCACATTTTAGAAAGGATGTTGACAAGCTCGAGCGTGTCCAGAAGAGGGCAACCAGGATGGTGAGAGGGTTGGAATCCAAGTCTTATGGGGAAAGGCTGAAAGAGTTCGGTATGTTTAGCCTGGGAAAGAGAAGGCTTAGAGGGGACATGATTGCAGTCTACAAATATTTGAAGGGCTGTCATGTAGAAGATGAGGCAGATCTATTCTCTCTTGCTCCGGATTGCAAGACTAGATCTAATGGGTAGAAATTACAAGGGAGTCGATACCGGCTAAATATCAGGAGAAACTTCCTAACTGTAAGAGTTGTTGAGCCGTGGAAGAGACTGCCTCAGGAGGTGGTGGATGCTCCTTCGCTGGACAGGAGCAGTGGAGGCTGGACGACCATCTTTCGGGTATATTGTAGGGCTATCTCTCGGCTGTGCTCCTGCAGAGTGCAGGGGGTTGGACTAGATGACCTGCAAGGTCCCTTCCAACTCTTAAGATTCTATGATCATAATGAAAAATGGGTGAAAAACAAGTCCTTTTCCTTAATGCTTAATGCATTCATACATTCTTTCCCTTTTGGTAGTTTCTCCTTTAGTTGAGCTTCATGTGGATTTCATCCTAATAGAGTGCCTGGGTGATCTAGCAAGTTAGACACAATAGTTGCAAGTGAATCTTTAGACTTGCAAAGACAAAAGCCATATGTGACAGGCTGTATTAAAAAAGAGAATTCAGCAAAAAAATCCAGCTGGTTCTAGCTCTTTCTGTGTTTAATCTCTGAGTGTTTGTAATACTGTTTTGAGAGTAGAATGTGGTAGGATACTTGGATGTATTAATTCTGCTTGTGAATGGTGGTACTTACTGGTATTTAAATAGAAGTGTTACGTTATTAAGGATACATGAAGTTGACAGCTTTCTTATCCTCTCTGACATGCCAAATGCTGTTTTATGTTTTCACACTTCCTACTCTTCCTGTTGATGCTGCAACAGTGATGTCATTTACACTCAACTAAAACTTTCCTGTGACAATTAATTACCGAATTGTGATGGAATGCATATTTCCGAACTCTGCTAAACATCCTGTTGTGGGAGATACATATATATAAAAATACTGAATATGTAGAAAGCAGAAAACAAGTTTGAGGAAAACTTATTGGTAAACATATCCTGGTTTTTTTATTGTCTACAAAACAAGTCCTTAAATCATTACAAAAATAATGTGAAAGATCTAAGCATATGTTACCAGGTTCCTCAAAGACTAGTCTGGCACATGCTTAAAGTAGTTGCCCAGAAAGTCCCTATATTCAGCATAGTTGGATAGAGTAACCATGTATATGGCTGCAAAGTACCGGTTGAGAAAGTAATACTGTATCCCCTGGATCGTCTAGAAAATTGTCTCAGTTGCAAGGATATTTACTTGAAAGTCCCATTGATTTGATTTACTGCCAAGTAAATGTCTTCAGAATTACAACTTAAAATTGCCTTTAAATTCCACTTCAGTTTTATATTGGCTCTTGATACAAACACATGTATACATACACACACACACACACACATATATATATATGTATGTATATATACACACACACACAGTCACATGCTTACAAAGCCATTAAATACCATCACCATATTTACAAAATATTGCATAGTTACAGAGAACATAACTTTACAAATAACAGGAAGGATCTTTCCTCATGACTAGGGAGTTTTCCTACAACTTAAGTGGTCTTGCTTCAGTGGAAGAGCCTCTTGTTGGAGGAAGGCTCCTTCAGCTAGAGGAAGACTTCAGACTTTGTTTGATGGAGTGGTAAAATAGGGTAAGAGCTACCCCAACCTCATTATGTCCCTTTAGTAAATAAAAATTACCATACCTCCGGGCTGATCTAAAATTCTTTGTGATCTTTTCATATAATCCCCTTTCTTAGTTACTTAACCAGTTAACAAACAGTAGATTTATTTTTTTCTTGATTTCATTAGTTTTTCAAATTTTGTTAAATCTCTTATTGTAGTCTCCTTTCTTTGTGCTAAAGAACTTAAAAACTGTATGTATTGGAAGACTTTTTGGGTTTTTCTCCAGAAATTACTTTGTAAGAAAACCACATTGCTGTTAATAATAAGCATAAAAAGTCTTAAACAGCCCTACTTTTGAAATTATCTGATTCGTTATTTTTAACAAGTGAGGAGAGGAGAGAGATGCTTGGGGCAGACTTAGCTTTATATAGCTCTCATCAAAGTTGACTGTTTGTACCTGGTGTTGAGCACTGTTTGGTGACCTCAATAGACATGCCAAGGCCCTTGAAATATGACTTTGAGAAGTGCTTCGCAACTTCACAGCTACTATGACATCCATGGAACTGTTACACGTTAACTAGGGCCTAGGCTATCCTCTTGATGTGGTATTCGGCTTTGATGACGTGGTATGGAAATGAGAGAATTTTCATCTATCCCATTGTTATGGGTTAGATCTAACTAGCTTTTTCTCTGTCTTACCCAGTTTTCCTTCTCCTTACATCCCTTGTGTCCCACTTGGCTTTTGTCCATGCAGTCCCATGACCTCTGGCATAGTCTTTTTTGGTGACTAGAAAAACTAGTTGGGGTGCACCCAACCTGTACATTACCTGTTCCAGTTTATACTTTTGAGAACTCATAACTTCTGCAGAAAAGGGGTACTTATTAGATTATTTTGCCTATAGAGTCCATCTGGATCCATCATCTTCCAAACAGTTCTCAGGGAGTTTCCATCAGTCATGACTAGCTCTCCTATCAAAGTACCAGTTCATTTTTGAAATGAGGGAGTTAATTTGGCTGTTGACACAAATATTCATTGTAATTTTACAACTTTATACTTGTTTTTGAAAAATGTTTTTCATGGGACTCTTTTATAATGAAAAAAATCATTTTCAGTTTCAGTTGAAATACTGTGCTGTTCTTTAGATTGGAATAAAATCTATGATAATCCTAGTTTTGACATTATAAATGAAATTATCTGTGTTTTCAGCATGTAGGAAGTATAGATGCTGGCTATAATAACAATAACATACTTCATCTCTTGGGGTATTGACAATGACACTTTTCCATTACCTGTAGAGTTTCATGGAATCCACAGGGCAAGGGCTTTGCTGTGCTCACAGTTATCCTGGAGCAAGCTTCCTAGCAGAACGTTACTTGATGTACAAGCTGTATTGGTTGGCCTTCTATTAACAAACAGTGGCAAAACTGGAGGAGGAGAAGCCAACTCATTTTGCATCAGACTTTATACAGAAAAGCCATTTTGTTATGTTTAATATAGTCTTTTTGGTAGATGTTACATGTAGATGTATTCACACGAATTTATTGGAACAAGCCATAGAATGGAATTAGCCACAGAAGAAGCCAGAGGTTTGTTAACTTTATACCTGGGGAAGCCATTCAGTAGCTACTTAGAGTGTGTTCATATTTAGACACAGCCTAGCCTAGCCAGTGTCCCAGATGCCTACCTACATGATCTGTCCCGAATCCCTACCTGCAACTTCCTTTAAAAAGGCAGGCATTCAAGGAAGCTTCCTTTCTTATCTGACAATCACAAGTCAGTGTCAGATTCTTTTCTCTTTCATGATTTGTAGCATATGCACATTGGACGTTGCTAAATAGCTTATGGTTTACTATCAATCTCAAGCAATAGCGATTGATAGTAATAGAACTGAAATATTTTTGATTTGGATACACAAAGCAATCTAAGTTTTAAAATTGTTTTCTTTTTTCACTGTCTTGCTTAACTTGACAGAGTCACATTAAGCCGTACTAGTTTCTGTTGAGGCAAGTGTAGTGACAGTTGCATAAATGGTGTGAAGTAAATGGAACATTTGTCATAGTGAAATATTACAGGGTATGGTGTTTTCTTAAACTATAAAATGTCACAAATATTTCTTTTTCTGTACTAGCATGGAGGCATCTATGTAAAACGAAGTGCCAAATTTGATGAAAAGAAAATGAAGAGCAACTTACAAGCCCAGGCAAAAGCTGAGACTCCAGTAAGATTATACTTCTGCAAACTGTGTGTGTGTTTCTTGCCCATACTGCTCTTTAAGATACCTACTTTGAGGATTAGATTAATGTTAGAGTTACAGATATGTTACAGATGTTACAGATATGTTAATGCCAACCCATTAGCACAGTAACATGGTTTTCATATTGTTGCTGCTAAACAGATAACAGGCAAAATACCTGGCATATGTTCTTCAGCAACTAGAGCATTTGCTAGGAAAAGATCTCTCTATAGCACTGCTGCATGTAGAGATCTCACACACCCAGAAATCTCTTGCACTCCAATTGTCCATTGTACATGTACATGTACGTGCTCACTGTACTGAGACTGGTTTTTCTTACAGTAAATAACATAATGGAGTTTGTGTTGCTCATCTGGTGTGAAGTTTACTATGTAGACAAATGCTCAGAGTTCATACTCTCTAATAGGGCTGTGTATACAATAAAATGTCTATGTTTACCATCTTGTTACTTAGTTTCCACTAAATCACAAGTGGAATTCTCCTTATTACAACAGCTCCATTTAACATTTGGAAGTTTCAGATTGTCTCTTAAAGGTTTGTAACTATTAAGCAATTTAATGGAGTTGTAAGGAATTATGAGACAATTTAGCTCACCTTTGTCCAATGAAGGAGAAACTAATGACAGTGGTTATTACAACCAGGAGTCTTTTGGGGCAGGAGCGGGCTGGAGCGCTGCTCTGGCAGCCCAGGAGCCAGCGGTGGCAAGCCCCGCCACCAGCTCCCTGCGCTGAAGCGCTGGGGCCAGGGGAGGCGCGAAGAGCCCCGCCGCCGGGTTTTCCGGGCCCACGCCGGAGCGCTGGGGCTGGGGGGAGGCCGGAGAGCCTTGCAGCCGGGTGCCCTGGGCCCGCGCAGAAGTGCTGCGGCTTGGGGGAGGCCTGGAGAGCCCTGCAGCTGGGTCCCCCGGGCCCACGCATAAGCTCTGGGGCTGGGGGGAGGCGTGGAGAGCCCCGCAGCCGGGTGCCCTGGGCCTGCGCCGAAACGCTGTGGCTCAGGGGAGGCCTGGAGAGCCCTGCAGCTGGGTCCCCCGGGCCTGCGCAGGAGCACTGGGGCCAGGGGGAAGCCCAATGAGCCCCACAGCCGGGTTCCCCAGGCCCACGCTGGAGTGCTGGGGCCAGGGGAAAGCTCGGAGAGCCCCACAGCTGGGTCCTCCAGGCCTGCGCCAAAGCGGTAAGTAAGGGATCCACAGGGTTGGGGGTGGCGGGGGCTTGATGGGGTGGGTGG